CGGTCGTTTATAGCCGCACGAAGTAATCTTCAGGCACTACTCTAAGTTGACAGATGACCTTCATTGACGCCCGAGTATTTCAGCCACGCCTGCAGCCTTGTAAACGGACCCAGATTGTGCAGTGTTATACAACTGTCTTTTGTTCACGAACCTGGCTAAGTGCACTGCTGACCTCTTTTCAATAGGGGCCAGATTAGCGTGCAGACAAAAGCTCTCCACCACGGTAGCGATGAGCCACACAGCACCGCTGCACGCTAATCAGGCCCCTATTGAAAAGAGGTCAGCAGTGCACTGTGCCAGTTTCGGGAACAAAAGAATCTTACATAACACCACACAATCTGGGCTCTTTTTCCAAAGCTGCAGGCCTGGCTGAAATAGTCAGGAGTCAATGAAGGTTATCCTGTCAGCTTTAGAGTAGTGCCCAAAGAGTCCTTTATGTGGGAATAAACGGCCAAATTTTGAAAACGGAAAATCTTGAACAGGACCCGGTATCTTGTCTTGCTCAAGAAAAATCCACCCGGCAGCAAGTGGTTAAGTCAAATTTTAAGAACTGACTAAATGTTGAGCGGGCTGTAATAGAAAGATCATGATGTCTGCCTTTGTGCTCTCCATTGTTACAGTAACTGATTGTGTCAGCAAGAAAGTAGGACTTCAAGATCACACTCAGAACAATGATGAAGTTGAAAAGATTTTTGTTAATGATTTTAACTCTTAAATTTTCACAGATTAGAATCCTAAAAGCTATCATAAGCAGTCATTTTTAAAGCTGAACATCCCTCTGAACCAGTCTGTGATCAGATAAGACCCTGAATTTAGTCCTTTGAAATAAGGTAGTCTTTGTTTAAATTAGCTTGCATAGACAAGTGATCGTGAACAAATAGCCCATTGTTATGGGACAGTGCCTGTGCACAACGGCCTACATGTCCTGCACTGTTTGGCACCTCATTTAATTGAAACATATTTCTAGCCAGATAACAACTGCATGGATTTTTCTCCATTTTATAACAGTGCAACATTTTTTCTAGAAGATCTAGTCAATTCCTGAGTATTTTCTGTAAAACTGGTACCATTAGGCCCAGACATTTTAGACCTGCCTAACCATTAGACCGAAATATGGAGATGGTCTTACTTATTTTGACAGCAAAATTTTGAAGGCCAGCTAACACATACAGACAACCCATGCCAATCAGAATGAACTGATTTGAACATGACAATCAAATGCAAGTACATTCAAAAGTATTTGTTTGAACAGTCCATCAAGATTTGTGTTGGAGGAGTAAGGATGTAAAAAAGTTTATTCTTTTTTCTTATATATGTGTTTACCAAACGACTATACATGCTGACTTTAACATTTTAATTGTAGCTTGGGTTTCGCTTTTTTTTTATTACGACAGTTTGTTTCTAATGTTTTTGTGTTTTAAACAGAAACCAACTTAATATCTAGTCTCATTTTTTTCCAGACATGTATGTTGGTGTTCTGGTAGCCTGCCCGTCACTTGCACTAGCTGAGGTCCTCATCCAGCTGAGGGACACAAAGGGAAAGCCTGCTCTCTCTGTTGGTGCTGTAGTTTTTGCACTTCTGCAAACTGACAGCTATACTGTTGGATTACAGCTTTTGGATGAGATACATCAACGCATTAAATCAGGTAAAATATGTGACCTGCCATGGCATATTAAGGAAAGAACCCCATTTATGACTTTTGAGATATGCATATGAAAATAAAGAGAAAGGAATGGGCTTTCCAGTGCTACCTTATTTATACTCATAGCCAATTATGCTCCGAAAATACAATGCGAAAAAGATGACAGGAAACATCGCTGCAACTATTTTGACCACAGTGATGTTTCAAACTTTAGCCACAAGCATGTTGTGTGAGCTCCATAATCGTTCTCGATCTACATGACCTCAGCAACATTATATTTACGGGTAGCTATTGCCATGAAATAACAAATTAAACCAAAAGAATGTCCTCAAACATTGTTTCCTGGAAGGTTTATTGGAAAAGGAGAAATCCATGGTTGGAGTTACATGATCATGAATTTCACTGCCCCCAACTTTGTTTCTAGATTTTGGAAGATTCCTTTTTAATATTAAAATTTGCAAGTACCTCTTAAGATAAGTTACTCAGTCAAATATCACCCTTTGTAAATTGACAAGTAAGACTGCTATTCTTTGCTAACCGAAAATGCTGGCACTTCAGAGAGCTGTCGTTCAGCTGACGGCATCGGATCTTGCTTTCAGTACTTGCGAAGTTTTCAGTGTACATGAATGTGCTGGTGTCACATGAGCCGCCAAGCAGTGTCTTCAAGTTGAACGGATGACAAGGGTGCAATATAGTAACAAGATACATATTACCCCAGCTGAATGTGGCATAAAAGTCAGGCAGGGTTGTCCCTTTGGGGCGGTCAAAAGTCGCAAGTATTCAGCTTTATAGTGATCGTAACAGTATTCAGTGTACTTGCCATAGTGTTGTAATCGACTCATATGCGCATACATACATGGACATGTACACCATACCAAAGATCATGTAGCACCATATACACGCACACAGCATCGTTGTTTCCGCATACGTGTACGTAAAGTGAAAGTATCTTTTTACGCATGTGTAATGCATGCTGATTGGATAAACAAAGCACTTGTCACGTATCTACGTAAACAATGCTGACTGCACCGAACATTTGAATAACAGGAGACCAACCAAGCTGCTCAATTTTGTCTATGCAGTTTCATCATGTATCCAAGTAACTGTAGTTGTGTGGGGAGTAAATCATGTAGCTTCCTTCTGCAGGCATAGCTCGTGAATGAGGCACAGCTTCTCAATGTAACAGAGGAGATTTGTTTATTTCCTTTTTGAGGCCTAGAACAGGCTAGAGGTTGTCCAGTCAATGACAGTATAAATAGGCTCTTTAGAAAAAGCCCTTTCCAATAGTACGAAACTTCACGCAAGGGCAATAGATGAACTGCCCGAAAACGTGCTTGGATTATGGACAAAATTTCGTCAGTCTATGGCGTTCTAACTAACCGAACTGTCACTACATATGCAAGTGTCCCAGGTGCCTGTTATTTATTCCATGAAAAGATTTGATCACCTTTGGTGCACCCTGGCCTCCCTCAATGAAACGCGGCCTCACCACCATGATCATCCTTTTCTCAGCACCTTAATGTAACGGACGTGTCTTTCCAGGCATCTTTGATTTATCCTGGTCTACTTGAGATTACAGGGGGGAGCAGTCCGGTAGGACGAAGAGCCTACTTCACATCTGGAAGCCCCACAGCAAAGGTATCTGAAGACATGGGGCAGTTGGTTGACTGGTATGGGCATGGTCGGTGTCTTCCTCCAATAGGGAGGTTGACAGAGGACTGACAATCTGGAACATGTCATAGGGGTAAGGACGCAGATGAAAAAGATGTTATTTTCAACAACGATGCGGTCACTTGCTTGGACTAAAGTAAGACTGCGCTATAGTTCAGAGCTGAGGGTGCCCTGTAGATTGGCGGGTGGTTAAGCGAGAGAATGCCTGGCTGGTGCAATTCTGGTTGAACCCTTCCCAGTGTCATCATGGCTCGTGGCCGGGTAGAGGGCGGAAGGGGCTGGTCTGCCAGAAACAGGTCAGGGACTTCGGAGGCTGGTGGCGGTCTAACGCCGAGGCGGTGAGCGATGGTGGTCAGAACTTCATTGTTGGACTGGACGGCTTACATCCAAGCCACAGAGGTATGTCCATGGTGGTCAAGGCGGTGCTACTTATTGGGTTTTGAGGAATTCGATGAAGAAGAAGAGTGCTTGTGCTTGCCTTTCCCAGTGGCAGGCAACCCAGTGGCAGAGGAAGCAGACAATGCCGCGGTAGGGAGAACGCCCGGGGCATGTTCCTGGTCAAGGTCAACAGGAACTGCAGAATTCCGGGCAAAGGGACGAGGAAAAAAGAGGTCTGATGACCCAGTGATGCTTTCGATTTTGACACTGTATGAGCATGGAGGAATAAAACATGTACGAGTGACCACACAGATATAGGAATTGCGAAGTAACAAATCGGTATTTAAAACATCGTCCCTTTTTAAAACAATTCTTTCACATAAATAATTTTTATTTGACATCAAATGGACAGATAAATTATAATAGTTATTAAGTTTAGGGGGTTTTGTGATGTTAAAAACCTTTTATGCTGGCCCCTAGTGTTGTTTGTGGTTTGCCTTTGAATGCCAGCATCGCCGCTGCTTTTTGATGACATCATTGCCTTCTGCAACTAATACCGCGTTATTAGTAAATACCGCAGTATTTTTTTTCATGGATACCGTGGTATCAAAAAAGGCAATACCGCCTAGGCTTAGTGTGTACATGCACACTGTACATGCACCCATGTACACCTTACAGGCAGGCCACGTGCTGGCGCTTGTGCATGAGTCTGAACATGGCATTGGAAGAGTTTGACAATTTTTTCCATCGTTAAGGTAGAAGAACCTAAACAAGCTTTATGCTGATTATTGACAATAGCAAAAATTATGTGTATGCCTGCCCTTGCTTTCAAGAAGAAATTTGTTATTTTTCATTTCATTCTGGATGATAAAGTGAGCATGTAAGGCAAGCCCCGAAACGATTATATGTCAACCTCTTCCCCATGGACTACCTCGTGGGAGAGTGGACGTAATATGACAGCTAACGATTGCTTTGTGAAGGAGGTTGATAAGATGTATGATCGATCACTGGTGAACAAGTATGGGTCCCTCTATTCGTTTTGTTACAAGTTGATGCATACGGTGCTGTAGTTCATTATTTGTAAGTAAGGGAACCCGCCTGCTGGTGTTGATAAGTTCAAACCAAGTGTCCAGACTATAGTCCGAGCATACATGTGCTTTACTGCAGCGTACTTTCTATTTTGGACTTGGCTGATTCCGTGTGTGATGGGGCCGGGAAAAAGCATGGAAAAAGACTGAACTTTTGCTCAGAGTTGTTCACATTTTTTGGGATTTAGATTACACAATAAGGTAATGCACGCCTTAATTTGCACCACCAGGCCATGCTTGAAAAAAATGGGCTGTGATTTCACAAAACTGGCCTTGCAAAAGACGGCTACACGGCTCCCTAGCTAAAACACTGGCTCCAGGGGACCCAGAGAGGAATTAGCAGGTGTTGGGGTGTCATGGCTCAACGGCGCACCAGGCAAGGCAAGCCCCGGCACTCACAGGGAGCCCGGCCCAATGACTTTGGTATCTGGGTAAGAGGGAGTATGGAAGGGGGCCATCAGAGAAATGGTCTTCTTGGCTGATGTCGAAAGGTGGGTGATACTCTTCAGCGTCGCAGGGGAATGCGGGCTGGAATGCTGTGTGAGTTCCTCAGGCAAAGGGCGTGGCATACTTCAAGATGATGGTACGACGGGCCCAAGAGATGCCTGGTGGGTTACTCCCTCTGGAGTCCTGGCTGGCTTGCCAGCCCAGCAAGTGACTAAGGAGACAGGGTCCTTGCCAGATCCTGCTGGTGTCCCTGCTCGGGTCGTCCACAGTCGACCACAAAGCTTCCCTGTCATTTCCGTGGGGCCGAACGAACCAGGGGCCTAGATCAGACCTTGTAGTACCGATAGTAAACAACCTACAGGGTGCACGTACAAGAAAAAATAGAGAACAAAAGCACACAAAATATACACCAGAAAACACTCTTACCACATGAAGTGTTAAAATTAAGGTAATACTTTATTCAAGAAGGAAGGATGGATGAGCAAATCCACACAGAACCGTGCAGCGAAAATGAAAACTTGATAAATCGAAGATGCCTGAAAAGACACGTCCGTTATGTGAAGGTACTGAGAAAAGAAGGACGATCATGGCAGCGAGGCTGCGTTGCATTGTGGGAGGTCAGGGTGCACCACGGGTGATCAAATCTTTTTGGCGATTAAATAACAGGCACCTGGGAAGTCTGCATATGTAGTGACTGTTTGTCTACTGTAGTAGACCCAACCCACACTTAATATGGGGAGGATTTTAAAGGTAAAACAAAAACTCACTCCAGAAATCCTGGTTTTTTCACCTTTGTTTGATCTTCTTGCACAAATGGCATAGCTAGAGGAAATCTTTGACACCTAATCTACCTAAAAATCTAAAACACAAACACAAAAATCCAGAAGAATCGATGTTGACATTTTTTTTTCATATATCCAACTTCAGTCGGTCCACGTCACTGCACAAGCAAGGGATTGCTAGTCTCCGTAGAAACACTGTGGTGATGTAGTTTCGTTTCCTAACAAACACCAGGAATAGGACAGTGCATTGGCTTATTATTCCCTTTTTGTTACGGTCGGAAGGGGATGCAACCAAGCAATATCCAAATTTACATCTGCCCAATCGTAGCTTCTAGATTGCCCACTATGTGAGCATCAGGCTAAAGTGAGTAGGGCAGTTCACCAGTTGACCAGACTGCTCCGTGGACCAGAGAGAGCGGTCTCACAGCACTGCTCCAGATAAAATATCATGCTCGCGCCGCTCACCATGGCCAATTGTCAACTCTCTATGGCCAAGTTGACAGCAACATTTACTTGTTCCTGCCCCACTATGGATGCCGCATTGGATACAGTGACTGGGGCCGGACCCGCCACTGCTACTACTGCTCACAGGTCTCCGGCCAGATCTGCCAAGCCCCTGAACTGCTTCGCTGCTGGA